GGCATAAAATGGACTCACATAAAGAACTTGGAGGATCTGGACTTCGCCGATGATATATGTCTGATTTCCCACAAAATGCAAGATATGCAAATGAAAAGCAACAAGTTAGCAGAAGAAGTATCAAAGATAGGACTTCAGGTGAACATAGATAAAACAGAGGTGATGAAGATTCCTGGTCAACACCACCAACAGCAACAGACAACAATCAGCATAAATGGGAGGAACCTGAAAGAAACAACCTCCTTTACCTACCTGGGAAGCATTGTTTCAGCTACAGGCGGAACTGACGGGGATATCAAAGCAAGAATCGGGAAAGCAAGACAAGCTTTGATTACTCTCAAGTCTATGTGGAGGTCAACAGCATTCAGTGCTAATTACTATACGGATGAGAGACTTGGCCCGTCAAAAAGAGCATCTCAAACAAACTACAGACCTTCATCAACAGCTGTTTTCACTCAGTACTCAAGATCAGATGGCCAGAAAAGATCAGCAATAGGGATCTCTGGGAGCGAATCAACCAGGAACGGATTGTCAAACGAATAGGCAGGAAGAAATGGAGATGGATTGGCCATACTCTGAGGAAACCACCAAGTGACATCACTAGACAAGCCATTACTCGAGTGGAACCCGAAAGGGAAGCGGCGAGCTGGTCGTCATTGCGAGGGTGACTTGGAGGAGGTCATGTGAAGAGGAGATGAAAACATGTGGGCAGATTTGGAGCCATGTGAAAACTCTAGCAGAGAAACGAACACAGTGGAGACGCGCGGCTGAAGCCCTATGTTCCTCTAGGAATTGAAAGAAAGAATAATAATAATAACTGTATATTAGTGTAGAGCCTACCGGTGATGAGGAACTAATTGAAAGGAAATGCATATTTCTTTGCTCAATCTGTTGTTGTTCTTTTCTAAATGCGTGAATGCGACTTTGGAATTTATTAAAATCTCTGAAAACCAACACTTGGAAATTGATGATTTATTAAAAAAAATAATCATTTTTGCAAGTGACGTCGATTTTGAATCATTTTTATCTGGTACTTTAAATGTCGCTAGTTGAAATAGGATGTGTTAATGAAAAACTGGAGGAGTAATTTGTTGAACAGATGTTGTCAGCAGTAGGGCGTTAATATAAATATCTGTGTATACACTGATAAACAATTGTGCAACGGAGTTGTGATTTGGGCAGATTATTTTCCACCCTGTAGATAATTTTATAGGAAAAGGCTGTCTAAATAAGGTGGCCAGTACCAAACAGGTGTTCAACTGTCTCATT